TAGTCACTGCACCGTCGTCAACGGAATCGTAAGAAAACGAAAGAGAAATCTGAAGAAAAACGAAAACTGCGGTTAAGGAATTCACCTGGTGAGAGATTACTGGACATGGAAAAACACTTGAAAGCGGGAGTGGATTTGTTTTCCCGCTCCACCTAAATTTTTTGATTTTCAAATCGATTTGCTTCACAACTCACAAATGGTTTGATTTTTTTAAGCCAGACAACTCGGAAAAGAAATGGACTTGGTTTTTTTGGTTGGATAAACGCAAAGCACAGCGTCGTTTCAATGTAATATTATTGTTGGGCCATATAGAGCCCATTTGTGCTGCCTACATTACGTCACCCGTTTAGATTGATATTGTGAAACTTTTAAACATGATCGGTTCCAAAGCAACATTGCGGAAGACACTTGAGATTACTGGCATGGCCATGTTTCATGTTTCAACGCTAATGGGACACCGGAAAGTTTTAATTAAGCTCGAATTAGTTTTACTTTTACTACAGAATAAGTCTCGTCGTAAACAAAAGAGTACAAAAATTACAAACAAAAACTTCACAGTCCTTGAGCTTTACTACGTTCTTCAGCCATTCTCTTCTTGATCTCATGTGCTGCATTGAAAAGCCCCAGAGTTGGTTGGTTACACACGAAGCACTTCTTGTTCTTCGTGTGGTGCTGCATCATTACACAAAACAAAACTTTTAGTTCCACAGACCAAAACACATAATCATAATTCATAACTGAGATTAAATCAGATTCATCATAGTCATACCTTTAAAGCGCAATGCTCGCAGAAGTAGTGCTTGCATTTCGTGACTACCGGATCGACGAAGGGCTCTCTGCAGATGAAGCAAGCAAAAGGCAACGCGTCGTCGTCTTCGTCGCTATCCTTGTCAGCGTCATCATCATCTTCATCTTCAACTCCCATCGCCTTATTCCTCTTCCTGACTTTCTCTGCTTCGTCCCACTCTTTCTCTATCTGCCATCCAGGTTTGTAATCTCCACGGTCATGCAAGAACTTACACGAGTCTCCATATCCACAGTATCCGGTCTCTTTGTAATCCTTGCAAATATCAGGCTGGTAATCGAATCTCGCGGAGACTCTGATATGTGCAGAAGCTCTCAATGGCCCGTGTGAGCCTCCAGCTTTCTCGCTCGAGATGGTTTGTTCTCTTCTAAACCCAGCTTTGTGATCTGTATATCCATGAATCCCAGTGTAGAGCTTCTCATCTGAAGGCTTCTTTTTATTCCCTTTCAATGCTTCGTCTGCTCGTTTAAGAACTCTCTCACGGATAGCTCTTGCATCTTGATTGAAGTCGGTCTCGGTTTCTAGAGTCGCTGTTGCTCTGCTGTCGTTTTGAACCTGGATTTCCTTGGATGAGTCGTAGTGAAAGACGACCGGTTTCTCTGGAGCTTCACTCGTCGTAGCAGAGCTCTTCGATGGCCCAGAGGAAAAATACAACTTGCTATCAGGCTTAGCAACTTTCTTCAGGTTGTTTAATATAGAGCTTTCGCCTTTAGAATCTCCGTCTTCTTCATCTGCATCAGCCGTTCTTTTCCTAATGTTCTTAGCTTTTGATGGCTTCTTGAAGAAAGTGCAAACTGTAAACACAACAATGATAAATAAATAAATAAATTGGTCAGTGTTTTATAGTCTCCGCAATGAATTTGTTTTAGGTAATTGAGAGAGGAGAAAGCATATGTACCTTGTTGAGACTGAGATTCTTGCCCAGCAGGTTGAGATTCTTCTTGCTGAGATGTTTTTGGCTCACCAGAATCTGACATTGTTCGATGAGATTATGTATACACACAATCACCCAATTGAAATTTTCCGCTTAGTGTTGCCTGCAATAGTGCCAGATTTTACGAATACAAGTTAGTTCTCAATGATGCAAACAGAGAAATGGCAGAAAATGGAACAGAAACCTAATCAGTGAACAAATAATCATTCGATTCCAAAATCAATTACCCAAACTCAGGATATAATCAGTGCTACGCATTGAAGAATCCCTAGCTTATCTATATAGACAGCAATTTCAATCACAGTCAATAAGGAAGCTTGAGAAAAGCAAACCAATCGTACAAACGTTGGAAATCTAAAAATCCTTTACTGAAACTAGAGAGAAAAAAGCTCGAAGAAGGCTAAAGGACAAAATACGAAAGTAAGGATCCAATAGAAGGAGGATTATACCTTTAGGAAACCAACAAAATCGTCGCTGGTGATCTCTACTCCGGGAAGAAAACGACGACGCCGTTCGTAGTTTTCCGATTTGTGAGACAAACAAATAAATGAGAGAGAGAGAGAGGGGAGTACATAAGGAAACATGAGATGAGCCGGTTGGTTGAATTTGGGTCATGGATCTAAATGGATCTAAATGGGCCTAATGAGCCCAATGCTTCAAATTGGCAACTTGCTGTTTCTCTTTCTGTTTTGACTTTGACCAAGTCATCGTTTTTTAATTATTTTTGGATGTTTTCAATTGAATAAAAGACCTGAGTTATTTTATTGCACAATGTATTTCCATTTCCCTCTCTTTTGTCGGATAATTCCTCTATTTTTTTCCAGGAAAATACACAGAAACAACTATACAAGTAACCGCCATGGGTCTCACTTTCTAGCGACGGGACCAGTAGCGAGCTTCAAGAAGAAGACAAATTTCGGTGACTAACTTCGGTAGTTCTAGTTTCTGTTCATACGAGGAATCTTACTCTCTCGCCGTCAGTTACTTCGTTCTAGGTAAGTTTTGGAGATAACATGATGAGAGTTTTGATTCCGATTAACGTTTCCTTGTTTCCTCTGCTTTTGGTTCTGTTTCTCAGAATTTAATCGATTAGATCAATCTGTCTGAATTAGTTTCTTATGCTTTTCTCTTCATAACCCATCAAGATCTGACGGTCGTGGGGTCAGTTTATTTTGATACATAGCTTTCTTGTCTTCGATGAACAGTGATTACAAGTTGGTATGGTTTCCAATTATTGCGAAGAAATGGGTAGGAACTAGGAAGTATAGGTTTTGGTAGTCAGGAGGTTAGGTGGAAATTGACTAAATCTAAGTTCAAACTAACCTTTGAAGATATATATATATATATATATATAATGTTAGGTGTATAGAGTATAGTATAGTTGCTTTTGGGGATTATCATTATTTGTACGTAACCATGAAGAAGAATTCGTATGATTTAATCTTTGTTCTTATTATAATTTAGGATACGTCACAGTGTAAGCGAAACATCAGTTGAACAAGATTTGGCTGATGGCATTCAGCCATGACAACCGTGTGAGGTTGGTTGGTTGAAAACTTGAAATATTCTTTGTCTCTAGCTACATAGATGAATGATTCTCCATTTTCTTTGTTGAAACAGTCTTGTCTCTACATAGATGAATGATATTCCAGTTCCAGTATATAAATTTGATGTTTATTTTTTAAAGGTTCAACGACGTAGACAGATCATTAGCCTCAGAGTATGGTGGTGAAAGAAAAGCAAGACCTTCTTTAGAAAGAGTTTTAAAAAATGTAAAGCTGGGATTTGAGAAAGGTTCAGGAAAAATCAAAATTTTCAAGAAGCCATTAAGTTTCCGTTCACATAGTAAAGATCCTCATGTCCAGAAGGAAACATCAAGTATCACAAAGAAGAACATCATAAACCCACAGGGTTTGTTTCTACAGAACTGGAACAAAATATTCCTTTTTGCTTGTGTGGTTGCTCTGGCGATTGATCCTCTGTTTTTCTACATTCCCATCGTCGATGGCGTGAGGCATTGTCTTACTCTGGACTCGAAACTGGAGATAGTCGCGAGTTTGTTTCGTACGCTCATCGATGCCTTTTACATAGTTCACATTGTGTTTCAGTTTCGGACAGCTTACATCTCTCCTTCTTCCCGTGTTTTCGGAAGAGGTGAATTGGTGGATGATGGTAAATCAATAGCCATCAAGTACCTCTCTTCTTACTTCATCATTGATTTATGTTCCATCCTTCCTCTCCCACAGGTGTTGTAATGACTTCTTGATTGCTTCTATAAACAATGCCAATGAATCCTCTGTTTTTTTTCTAATATGGTTGAATCCTCTGTTTCTTATTGTTGCAGATAGTAGTCTTAGCTGTTATTCCCAACGTGGACAAGCCAGTTTCATTGCTGACAAAGGACTACCTTAAATTTGTCGTAATTGCTCAATATGTTCCTCGGATTCTTCGTATGTATCCGCTTTACACCGAAGTGACGAGAACATCTGGCATTGTTACTGAAACTGCATGGGCTGGAGCTGCTTGGAACCTCTCTCTATATATGTTAGCCAGTCATGTGAGTGACTGAATCTTTATTTGGTGTAATAATGGCAATTCAGAGATTTGGTTAAGTTTAATGTTGAACTTACTTATCCAGGTGTTTGGAGCTTTGTGGTACTTAATCTCAGTAGAACGAGAAGACAGATGCTGGCAAGAGGCGTGCGAGAGACATGACGGCTGTAAGATTAGACTCCTCTACTGTGATGAAAATCACAATGTTAGAAACGATTTCCTGACCACTTCTTGCCCGTTTCTCGACCCCGGGGATATCAATAACTCAACGGTCTTCAACTTTGGCATCTTCACTGATGCTCTAAAGAGTGGTGTTGTTCAATCGCATGATTTCTGGAAGAAATTCTTCTACTGCTTTTGGTGGGGTCTGCGAAATCTAAGGTTTGAAACAAACACAAAAACATTCTTGAACACTTTGCTTTATCCAGATTGTGATGTCTCTTTGTAGTTAGTCATATAGCAGATGTATCTGAAACACTGTCACAGCTCAAAGAATTCATGATTTGCTTTTTCTATCATGCAGTGCCTTGGGACAAAATCTCCAAACTAGCAAATTCGTCGGTGAAATCATCTTTGCTATATCAATTTGCATTTCAGGACTAGTCTTATTTGCGCTACTTATCGGCAATATGCAGGTAAACCTCAAAGAGTTCTCGTCATTTACTTGACTTGTAAGTCAGGAAACTCATTGTTGTTTCTGCTTGCTCT